GATTCCGGCTTCTCCCCTTAAGCCCCACCCAGTAGCCATAGCACAGTTCTCCGAGATGCGGCAGTTAACTATTTCCACATGCCAAATCAGTGGGTCATGTTCCTATCCTAGTGCCTGAAAGGAGGTATGGATAGACACAAGCGACGCTTCCCACAGCGCAGTATTTTCCCCTAGATCCATTCTACCCACGAACTTACAGCCACTTCGGACATTTCTGCAAGCTGCAGATCCATTCGATCCGCCTGCGAGCTACCTTTCGTGTCTTATTTTGCTCAGGTTCTAGCAGAGCTGTCTGTTCAGTGTCAAGCCACAAGATCATTCTGTCAGAGGGTTGCGATTCTGTTGTGCTTGTGCTGTGCCCTGCTGCGCATTACGGATTCGGAGTGGGGATCGCCCCCATGTTGAACAACCCAGGCTGGGGAGGAGCCAAGAAGTAGCCACAGCTTGGTTGATTTGGTCGACAAGAAGTAGATGCGCCACAATACTTAAGGGGCAGGGCACTTAGCAAGCCACTTAGAAGACTTATGACCATGGTAAGTGGGTTAGAGCCAGGCTTATTAACCCCTGCTCCTTTCAGTATGTTATGTTTAGTTTGCTATAAGTTCTAGCAGGTCAATGACAGTTTTCGCTTTGCAGGCTCTGTGAGAGAAGACGGTGGAGAGCCGACCCATTTTTTGTTTGGCGTGTTGAAGGCTTGAAATGGTCCTGGTATGTTCCAATCTGTCCGGGTCTGGGAGCCCTCTGATGGATCGAGTGCCACCATGCACGATGCAAGTCATAGAGCGGATCGCCTGAAAGAATCTACTCTTCCCACCATGGAACCAGAAGGAACCTGGAAGATCACCAATTCACTTTAAAGCAGCCTGCTTTCACGGGACCCAGCTTTTCTGGCCAAAGCGATTTCTGCAGCTTTCTCTCTGAGGATGTCCTGTGCGGAGGCGCAGCAGAGCCTGAAAAAGACATGCCCGAGTCTCAGCCAGCGCTCGAGGTTGCATTGCACAAAGTCTTAAGCTTTTGGCGACAAAGTCAATCTGTCGCGCCTCTGTGCATGTAAGGAACCATCTAAGAAGCAGTGGGGTTCCCACATGCTTTTGTTGGCGCAAGTTCCTGTCTAATCCCCACCTTTTCAAAAATGAATCGGGGGAGGGGGTGTCCCCTGGAATTCCATTTATGGTTCCATTTTCCCTTTTCTATGGGGAAGACTAGGGGGGATCGTGCCAGTGTATCTTTCTCTTAGAATGGCTTAACAGGAAACCAAAGCTAGCCCTCTCTTGTAGGTTGATCAAATGGAAAATGCTGAGGAAACAGTGCCATGTTTGGGGTCCCCGCATGACGCATACCCGTCTCCCGCGTCTGCCAGAAGGGCATGGCTGTTTGTCGACGGTTTAGCCGACCTGATTCTAAGAAGGTGTCATTTGTGCGTCAAAGTTTTAGGTCAGACTGTAATTTGAGATCTGTGATGGGGAGGCAGGAGCATGTGCTTACAACCGTTGATGGACGAAGTTGTCGCATCAATGCAGACATCATGCTGACAACATCCGCATGAGGTGATAAGGTCATTTGACCTCCTGAAGGTTTGCCAAACCCCCACCAGTTGAGGCTCAAGCTGCACGGGGGTCGTCACGGGGCAACCTTGCACACAGTAGATGAGGACTGAAGCTAATGGTTGATCGCTCCCTGAAATAGCTCCTTTGCCGTTGATTTTGCTCCAACCTATCTACCCATAGATGGAAGAAACACATGAATCGTATAGCTTGGCCATGGGGTTTCCCGATTTCGGGTCGACTGTCTGAGACTCCTGCAAAAGCTGGCGTGCCAAATTAGGTGTTTAGCGTGGCGGAATCCATTTACCCCACTAAAAGTTAAGCTTTTAGCAGGGGATCTGAGGACAGCCCAGAAAGTAAGTAGACCACGGTTGGCCCGACCCGTGATCATTCCCACGCATGTTTTTTGCTCGATGTGCTTTCTGTCAGCTACAAACAGCCATTAGCTACAGCAAGAGGAGCTACAGCAAGATGAGCAAGATGATCGCTTTCGCAGAAACCACTTTGCAATAACGCTCATGATGACTCTGCACAATGACTCTCATGAGGACGCTGTGCAATGACGCTTTGTGCAGTTGCTCTGTGCAAGTTGCTCTGCGCAAACGCTCTGCGCACTTTTTCCGCGCAAGTTGCTCTCTGCAGGTGCTGCCAGAGCTGCCGGAATGTACTTCGCGTGCTGCCTTTGTAGATAAAAGTTGCGATTTTGCAGCCGGAGCTGCGGGAGCGTACTCCGCGTACTACGTTTGCACTTACAAGTTGCGATTTTTGAGCCGGAGCTGCGGGGGTGCACTCCGCGCAGTACGTTTGTATGTAGAAATTGCGATTTTTGAGCCGGAGCTGCAGGACTGTACTCCGCGTGCTACGTTTATACTTAAAAGGTACGATTTTCCAGCCGGAGCTGCGGGAGTGTCCTCCGCGTACTACGTTTGCAGGTGAAAGTTGCGATTTCTGTCTAGAAAAGCTGCCGCGGACCAGGCGGGGATCGAACCGGCGACCGCGCGACTCCGACAGCAGGCGCGCAAACCACGCGACAACTTCCAAAGACCAGTTGCCAAGCAACAAATTCGCACGGCGCCACAGCGGGCGCGCTTCGCCACGCACGATCCCCGCAGAGGGTTCGTCGGGCACTTTGCAAATTCGCACGGCGCCGCAGCGAGAGCGCTTCGACCACGCCGATCTCCGCAAAGGGTCGCGCGGGAACCGCAGAAATCGTAAAAAGCCCTCAGTTTTTTTAACCTTGACCACACGAATCTCCGCAGAGGGTCGCGCGCACAGATCAGAAATCGTAAAAAGTTCTGTTTTTTAACCTCGACCACGCCGATCTCCGCAGAGGGCTGATTTTCGTAGAGTGCTGCCGGGCCTACCCCGCCACCCTAAGAAGAGAAGAAAGGAATTAAAAACTCTCATGAGCATTGCTCCTCGCCAGTGACTCTCACGAGCATTGCTCCTCGCAAGTGACTCTCATTGCTCCTCGCCAGTGCCTCTCACGAGCATTGCTCCTTCGCAAGTGACTCTCTGTGCAAATGACTCTGTGCAATGACTCTGTGCAATGACTCTGTAGTATGGCTCTGTGCAATGGCTCTCAAGATGATGGTGACTCTGCGCAATGACTCTGATATGATAACTCTCTGCAACGACTCTCATGATGATAACCAACGGAAAACCCCTCACCATGCTTTCGGGAAAGCGATTTTTTAACTATAAGGGCTATTTCATCTACCTGGAAACCCTTCAGTGAGTGGTTTGCGAATAGTGTAAGGTGCCGAACGTCCAGTTGCTTGGCTGTGCACAGCACAAATCGCGGGGGCCCGTCGAAAGGCTGCCACTGCTACATCTGCCAAGAAGCCTTTGAGCCAGAGGAACAAGTGGGCAGCTTGGTAGACCAAGAGGCGCACTCCCAGTGGCCATTGCTGGAGGGTACATGGCCTCACAGAAAGAAATGATTGGTCATGGGTCATTGCGTCCCCGACCGCAGAGCGTGGTCAAGGTTGCGAAGTTCAAGAACTTCACAACCTAGGAGATGTGGCCATGGGTCAAAATCCAAATCGTACCCCCAGTGAACATCCCAATCCCCACTAAAATAGACCAAAATGAGTGGTGCGCCTACCCCAAAATGGAATCCCATTGGTTTTGGCCCACATGGCTGTGGCCCTGCATTGGTGCTTGAGGCTATTCTGGGTTCCTCGGGTCATGTCCGGACCGATGTTTGTTGTGGCCCAGAGCATCTCCCGTGGTGCCCTTTGGTTTGTTTTGCTCCCCGTGAACCTAGCGCCACCCAACAAGAGCCCCGGAGCGGCTCCAGTTTACTCTCAGTTTGAGAAGCAGCAGGGTTGCAAGCTCAGAATCTTCGAGCCCAATTCGAAAGGCGGACCGTGGGTTTGGCGATCTGGGTCTTGATCTTGCAGAAACATCAGGCTCCCGTTCGAGGGTTGCTTGGCAAATGACGTCTCGGAGCAACATCCACATGGGAAGCTCTTCGAATTCTTGATTGGATGTTCTGGACATGGGATTATCGATGCAGAAACTCAGAGGTTCTCGGCAACGCACAAAGCAACAAACACAAGCAGACATGCACACAAACACATACACATACACAGTCGTAGTCGCGCAAACAAAGCTGGGGATGAGCATGAGGCAAGGTCACCTAAAGTTACTGAACATGCCTAGAAGTGTTTGGTTAAAGTTGGCCTCTGACGGTTTGGGCAGTCCAGACTGGATATTCAATCACTCCGCCTGTCGGAATACTGACGAGCTCACCTGCGGGGTAAAACGAGACCATGATGTTGGGCCTTGGCTTGGGGATCTTTTGTGTGTGTAAAGGTTGCAGATCGCTCAGTCACTTGTTTCCTCCAATCACTGCGGCGCAGACAGCGCAGGGATATGCAAACACTGCACTTGCTGCAGACCGGCTTGATGCAATAAGTGTTCTTAGGCTTCACACATCGTTGACCTGTCATTCACAGGTCTACGTGTCAGACAGTCAACAGACATTGTGCAATTTCTTAAGTGCTCATTACGGGCAACGGATATTGCTTCAGGTTCTTGATTGGCTCGGACAAGTCCACCCACCAACCAATTATCTTCATCTGATCATTTCGGGATGCCGTTCCGATGTGCGCATTCTAGTTCCTGTTTCTCAGATTGAGAAGCTGAAACCTGTCTGTCTTGGACGTGGGAAAAGATCCAAGCTTCAATCAGTACCTCCGCTTCTCCAGGGCGATTTCTCCTGTCAAGGGCCCCCCAATAGGGGCGTAGAGAGGCTAATAGCCACCAGTAAGCTTTTTTCGGGACTAGTGACTAACAGGGATCCTTTTAGGCACCTTCTTTTTCGGGGTCCCCTCTTGGAGATGAGTCCCTGACAACTGCCTGACAACCATGGGAGCTATTTCAGCCGAACAGTTGCCATGATATGCCCTGAGCGTCTCAGGCAACCTGAGCTGCCGAGATGCCGCGGCC